TCCAAGTCAAAGGCTCGGGGGTGGTGGTCTCTTAATAAAACCGCCTGCTTTGGTCTGGGCGCCCGGGCAGTAATCCCAGCCCTCACACAATGAATTGAACGAAGCAACAAACAATCAAGGAAACTTATCGCATGCTATTACACGTGTTGCAATTTCCTTCTTTCTTCCCTTCCCGATGATAGTTAACGCACACTGTTTGAACTTGTTAAGCATGACTGCCTTCCTTCCAGATGAAGTTCTTTATCCGTTCTGTACTTATATATGTATATTTTTTTCTCTTCTTTCTTTTTTTCTTTTGATCTATGTTGTTTTATTATTATTGTGTGGCGCATCCTTCTTGGTCCCATATTGTACCAAGTTTTTATGCGTTTAAATACATAAATAATAAATAATCAAATACCAACCCAATTCCAGCCTCAGTGAGAACCCTTCTGACGTCCCTTCTTTATACAGCAGTACTACAGAGGCTTTGAAGTCTATATCATTTTCGTCATTGTTACTGCTAATCTTAGTTTATCTATGATTCTTTATATATTTCTGAATAAACTCTGGTGGGTAGTTGTTATTCACTAGTAGTACCTCATTTATTTGTTTGATTTCGTTATTTAAATCTTCTAGTTTACCAATTAGGCGCTTGACAACCAACAGCATAGGAAAGTTGAAGAGACAGAAAGAGAGGAAATATACGTATAAGACAAATTGTGAAACCATGGAACTAAAACTGATCTGATCATGAGCAATAATTTGTGCTCGTAACCTTGTCATCCAGTTGTTAATAGTGCATCATCGCTGTGTGATATTTAAAATAAACTTATCTAATATGGAACTGATTAGAATACTTCTGTGATGATATAGTCAAGATTTTCGACTACCTTTCTATCATGTTACAAAACAAGAGTTTCTGTGTGCATTTATATATGTTTGAATATAAGAAGCCTAAAGATATTCCACCCAGCTGTCGTTTGTGTTCATCACTTGATTGATGAAAACAAGTACACAATGTAATTATTATTATTATTATTCCATTGGATTCCGACAGGAACACTGGGCTTCAACAGCAGTCCTCTTCAGCTTACATCTCCTCCTTATACGACCTCGTTCATGTAAACACTCAGACTGACGCCCAACTCGTCATTTCCCATTTGGACTCTGCTCAAGGGTATGGCATGTGATGTCACCCGATGATCTTATCATCTTGTGTCCAATCCATCTCGATTTCCTTCGAAATATTTGTTGAGCGGAAGGTTCTACATTGGGTGACAGGGGAACCAGCTTACAAGATGTCCAGAGAACAGGACAAAATGAAGATGTGCTGTTGAAGCCTTTTGTTCCACTCGGAATCCAAGGGACTTCGTCGGTGATAAATGTCTGATTTCCCACAAATTGGAAGATATGCAAGTGAAAAGCAACAAGTTGGCAGAAGAAGCATCCATAAAAGTTAGGACTTTAGTTGAACATAGATAAAACAGAGGTGAAGAAGATTCCTGGCCAACACCAACGGCAATAACAACAGACAACAATCAGCCAGCATAAATGGGAGGAACCTGAAAGAAACAACCTCCTTTACCTACCGACCTGGGAAGCATCGTATCAACCACAGGCGAAAGGAAGTGACGAGAATATAAAAGCCAGAATCGAAAAAGCAAGACAGGCTTTCATTACTCTTAAGTCTGTGTGGAGGTAAACGGAACACAACATCAAAAATAAGATCTGGATTTTCAAATCCAATATTAAGTCAGTGCTACTACACGGATCAGAGACTTGGCGAGTCATAAACAGCACTTCACACTAACTACAGAGATTCATTAACAGTTGTCTTCGCTCAATACTCAAGATCAGATGGCCGGTCAGAGGAGATCACCAACAGGGATCTCTGGCAATCAGCCAACCAACCAGGAACCGATTGTGAAACAAATAGGCAGGAAGAAATGGACATGGATTGGCCATACTCTGAGGAAACCATCAAGTGACATCATTAGACAAGCCATTGCGCGAGTGGAACCCGGAAGGGAAGCGGCGAGTTGGTCTTCAGTGCAAGGGTGACTTGGAGGAGGTCATGTGAGGGGGAGATGAAAGCATGTGGGCAGACTTGGAGCGGAGTGAAAACGTTGGCAGAAAACAGAAGGCAATGGAGGTGCGCAGCTGAAACCCTATGTTCCCCTAGGGATTAAAGGATATAATAATAATAATCGCTTGAAATAGCAAGATACGTGAGATACCTTATAGGAAGAAACACATTTAATCAAGAAAATGTCCTTTTTTCTTTTTTTCCATTCCTTTGCATTCTGCTTGAAAAGTAGAATTTCAAGAGTGAGCTTTGAAATTTCCGTGGTAGTGGTGTTGTTTATATGAGGTGAAGTCACTAGCTTCATGCCTAGCCTTACCTTTACACTGATTTACTATTGGTCAGGCGCGGTGTGGTAGTGGGTCGATCGGGAATGAAAACCAAACTGCGTGCTTGTTTGGTGGGCATTCTATCAGCGAACTATCAACTCTAAAGCTGCCATACTTTCTATTTATATTCCCTTTTTCAGTCCCTACGACGATTTTCTGTCAACTTACGCGCAGCATATGAAGAATATACTATGGCCTAATTGCAATGGATACAACGTTTCAGCCTTTATTAAATTTGAAAGGGCTGTTTCATATCTAAATACACTTGTCAGATATTTCTCGGCAGTTCACTTGTGCGCTACTAAGCCTAGAAATCACGAATGACTTGCTCTGTTGAAAGTACTCTGCCCATGAATGAATGAATGTCGTCTGTAGATCATAATTAACAGAGACAAAATAAAACATGCAAAACCTAAATACTGACATATTTATGGGGATATTTCCTCTGAAGCTTAGAGATGACAATAATCTGATTATATCAGGACATTGCCAAGATGTGCTCGTGAACACCAACCAACATGTGTGTAGAAAGGAGAAGGCACAACAGCCAGCAGCTCGATTCCGTAGTGTATAAACTGTAGTCACACAACACCAAGAGAGGCTATTCAAAAAGATTTCACCTACACCTCCCTCATGTAGCCGAAACTACAGCAATCCACAAAGGAAAACCTAAACTTGGTGTTCCGGAATATTTTGTGCGGCCTCTTTCATTACCATGGACTTAGTATCAATATTATTTTCTCGAACTAATGCATAGTAAACTTCATGCATTCCTGTTTTCATTTTTGTGACCGGATTTTACTCCTTTGCTCTCGTGTTCCGTTTTACAGTTATTTCCAAATGACTATCTAGTTGTCAACCCCTTTGTCTACGTAAGACTGCCTACTACTTTTCACACGTTTCTAGTTATAAACCAGGTCAACGTGGCTATCAGTAACTGACAACAACTTCTGAAATCTATTGTCTATCTAAACTGTATATATATAACCCCCTGAACAACTGGACAGCTATTCAGAGAAGCTACGAAAGTTGATCTCTCTGCTGATTTATGTTACAAAAGTCTTCCATTCATCGGGAATCCATCAGTTAAGTTTTAACTGATTAGTAATTCACAGCTTACAGGTGATTAAACACCACGTTCCATAAATTTCTAAGGATATCTGGTATCAATGAATTCAGTAATGAAAACTTATACCACTACATAAATTGGTAGACTCTTCTGAGTAATGAAAACTACTCTGAATTGGGATTAGTTTCATTCCACACCAGTAGTTGGAGTTACACTGGCTCTCTGAGCATAATAAAATAATTTCCTTTCAAATTCATTTGGATTTCCGAATTAAAGAATGAACACATTATTAATGAATGGACCTTATTTATAAGTTGTTCTGTAGACAAGATAGTGATGAAATTATTATTATTATTAAATCGCCACGTATGCTACGGATAAATGTTTACAAGTAGTATATTGCATGTGATGTCTTTTCCAAGATTCTTTAATAACAGAGTGACAGGGAGAGTTTAGACGAAGTATATGTATTCCGTCATAACGGAGGATCATTTTGACAAATAAATACCTCTGTGTTCTCCTGCCACAATATTAACTGTGATTCTACATACTACTGACTGAACGAAATGAGTAGTTAGATAACACCTACACCAACGAGTTCTGCATTCTAGTCAGATCAATTTGCTCTGAACATCGGTTGGCTGTTTCGCTCATTTGAGACCAGTCTCACCAGCTGTTTGTCCTCTCCGACTCAACTTAGAAAGCCGAATCAATTCGAACTACGATTATCCTGGTTGTCTACTTTGGCAAAATGGCAATACACTCAGTCAAATGCAGTTTATGCATTCGGAGGAGAGACCTCACTTCACAGTTTTATTTTCAATCCGAAAATATTCAGATTGCAGTATGTGATCTGCTTAACATCATGAGTGGAAATCAAGAAAGAAAGAATAAATTCATGGCACTATATACTACTGCCCGACTGAAATAAGTAACTGAATTAATCAAATTGCTCACAAACTGCTCAATGAAGTCTGGAAAAAAATATCTGCTCTTGAGAGTAACATTTCACACAGATCAATGCATTAAACGTGCAACATAATTTTGAAACACACATATACATACATAAATGTATTGCAAGTTGATATAAATTCCTTGTTATGACCAGTGTTCCATGTAATTTCAGTTTAAAACGAATAAAGCAATGTTCAATTTCTTTTAATGGCTCAAGATCTCACACCATTTTGGTGTGATATTATCGTGTTAATTCATAAATTACTCTAGGTGTTTTTTCGAAACCTTCCTTCCTGATAATGAAATCTGATATATAAGCATATATTATGTATATAGAAGAATGTACAAACGGTCGTCTATATTAAGTCTACATGAGTATGAGAAATAGGAATCAGATCTATCGATTACTGACAGATTTAAAAATCTACCAAGGCCAGCCATTTGTGTTTGTGATTAACAAGTGCTTAATTAACTTCAATAATAAAATATAAAGGAAGTTTAGTAAATTACTCATTCATTACTAAATGTTCAATCATCTCATCAACCGCGCGATAATCCTGTTTGTTTTAATTATCTATATTAGCATAATGTATTGGACATTGAACAATAATGATGTTGGTTATACGATGAAGAAAAAGGAAATATGCTGTAAATATAAATTAGATATAAGTGAAAAAAGAATAAATAATGAAATTATTATTAAAAATATTACTCATATACAACGTTTATTCCCGTTTGAATCAAGAAATACCATAGAATATAATAATCAAAAAGCCACAACATATATGAGAAATGCCTATGATTATATTATCAAACAATTATGTCAATTTCATAAAGAATTAAATAAAACTATTAGCAGACATGATTGCTGTACAATGAACTTTGATTATAATTATTGTTTGAATGAATTGAATTCACTTGGTTCCATGCCTAAAGTATACAGTCGGAGGAATTCACCAGCAGGTCAACTACCGGATACACCATCAAAGTATAATTTATCCCGCGTTATAAACATAAATATGAAAGTATGACTTGTAAATTAAGTAATGGAAAACGCAAAAAATTATACGGTTTGTTGAAAGAATGGATAAGTATAGCTGAAAAATATAAAATTATATGGTGGATAACGTTTGGAACATTGTTGGGATCAATAAGGTATGTTTGTCCATTAACTGTTTTGTCCTAAACTCAACTATTCAATGTTTTATTATGTAATTTTCAGGTGAAATTGCCCATCGAAGTTGGTGATTTCCGATGACACGGTGCACATTGATTCGATGATATTACATGGTTGGAGGCAATCGGCAGGGAGCCTTGCTTGGTCCATGTTTCGTGCTAGTTGGCACGAAACAGTCAGAAAGGTGTATCTGCAACCCTTCTGAGATTCGAACCTGCGTCACCCAGTGCTGCAGTCACAGCCGTTACCACTGAGCTATTCGGGCTCTCGATTGACCTCCTGTATGACTGTAGTGGGTACCTTGATTGGACACTAGTAACTAGTGTTGACCTTAACTGACCTCAGAGGCTTGGTGGGTTGACCGTTGCCCAGTAACACTCTCATTATGTAGATGATTTTGGTCTATGAGACGAAGACACTGAACACCTTGAACAGGAACCTTCCAATGTTTGCCATCAATTGTAAGATGACTTTGTATGGCTAGAATACACCGACTCCTAGCTTAAAGACTGGAAGTGAATCAGTAGAACATGTTAACTACTTCACTTTTGGGGGAAACTGCACCAGCCCTAATCGACTGGTTGTTAACAAAATCTCATCCTGAATGAAAAAGGTTCGTGAGACGTCTGCCGACTAGCGTCATCTCTGCAGTAAATATGATATCCTGCTGTCGATCAAAAGACATGCTCGCTACTCAGCGATTCGCTCTACCCTTCTTTGTGGCTGTGAAAAATGACCATTAAAAGCAGAGAAGTTGTCTCTGACCATGAATGTTTGCCGTCTCCCACACCAAGTGGTGTGTTGTGGTAAACAATATGAAAGGTTGGTGTATCATTTGGTAAAGACATTACGTCAACGAATGAGGTTTTGAAGCTACAGCTATTGAGAAAGCCAGAACACGCATTAGTCATGCCAAGCCACCGCCTTCGTCGACGAGCAATAGTAGCTGACAAAGAATTAGTTTTGAAAAGATTTAAGTATAATCAAATAAAAACTTGGCAATAGTTCATGAAGTCCTTGACAACTGATTTCAGCCAGGTAGGGAGTTGTAAACTCTCTGGAAGGAGACGTTGGAGGTGTTAAGAACCAATGGTTAGAGACTACTATTGGTGGCATGGCTCAAAATCGTTCTCAGTGCTTCATATGCATTCACTCTTTATGTTCTGCAGTACCCATCATACCGATATACTTTTTCATGTCAATTATCTTTCTCCCGCACATTTCTTTTCGTTATAACTCTTCCTAGTCTCTTCTTTCTACCTTTGTGTACTACATGGAGTGTGACAAGTTGAACTGCCTCACCTCTTTGAATAGTTCTATACTGGAATTCACTCAATTAGACAAATCAAAAAACCTACTCACTATGGTCTGCTTAATTAATGTTTTGTTAAATCTAATCGTAATAACTTTCCGGCGTACTTATGAATTACTTTTCCCTCTTTAGAAATAATGACATTATCCCATATGATCATGATGTGGATGTGGCTGTCTTAGACACATATGAACCAATCATAAGAAAACTGGCAGATGAATCAAAGCAGTCTCCTTCAGGAAATGTAAGTTATATATTTACAATGTAAAGCATAATTGATTATTAAATGTGTGCTGAAGGAAACTACACTAAAACTAGTATTACTATTAGTGTGACTTAACTATGCATGAAAGGTAATTGTAACTAGTGTGCCACAGGTTTCAAAGCACCTTCCTTTGAGTCAAACAGGTAATGCGTCACGTCTTCATAGTGTTTAGTCCAACCAAAAGTATATCGAAAAAGTTAATTAGGAGTAACAGGCCACATCACTACTTTAATCACTAAATTTATTATTGTAGATTTGTTGCACATTGTTCGGTCGAATCATTGTTTTAAAAGAATGGCTACTGAACAAAGAATACTCTTTTGGATAACTTCATCATCAGGTTCTACAGTTACATGCATAATAGTCAGTGAATTAGTGCTATTAACAACACCAGCTTCGTGTCCCTTTGAAATACAAGGACAATCTGATAAAGTGCTTGGTTCACAGAGCAACAGCAATCTGCTTGGATGCATGTCTTGATGAGAAACTTAATGATATTAAACGGTTGCTAATTGAAAATGGTTATCCAGAAAAGTTTATTGATAAGAATATGAATCGAAAATCAAAGCTGCCCAAGTTACCAACATTTCCAAAAAAGGCCTTATTCTTACAAATGCAGTTCATTGGGGACAACATCAGCGAGATACTAACACAGCGCCTTAGAATGCAGTAAAAAGGGCATTCCCTGCTGCCGAATTACGCTGTGTGTCTTCAAAACTACTCCTCTTTTGCGTTCGGGAGTAAAAGACAAACTGCCTGATTTCGCCCCTTCCATATGTATCTACCAATTTAACTGCTCCTGTGGAGTGAGCCAGTTACAAAGGCCGTACAATGAGGCGTGTTTCTCGTCGAATTTCCGAACATCACCCTATGTTATTAAGTAAAGGACAGACAAAATCTACTCAAAGTGCTATTCTATCTCATCTTGTGGAGACAGAACACAAAATTGGCGTTAACCATGCTTTCACCATCATTTACCGCATACCAACAAATCTCAGTTTTGCCTTAAGAGTTCGACTACTAAATATTGCTGAGGCTGTTAAGATCAATATCAAGAAGTCTAATTTGTTCGTGCAAAAGAAGTTAGTTAAGACATTATCCTTACCTTGGCCATCTAGGTTTGAAAGATCATGAAATTTTGTGGGACTTTTCTATTTGCTACTATATCTTTATTGTTATTAAAATTTAAGCATATTTATTGAACTGTAATTCCACTGACCTTAATTTAAAAATCGATATTATTTGAAAAAAAACTATAATTGTTATTGACTAGCATTCTAGAATATTCTATGTATATAAGCACATATATATATATATTATTATTATTTATTATTGCTCCCTTGGGTTCCTAGTGGAACATAGGGCTTCAACTGCACGTCTACACTTGACACTTCTGTCTTCTGCTGCTGTACTTTTCACCGGAATCCATGTTAGTCCATACTCTTTCAACTCCCCTTCACACGATCTCCTCCATGTAACACTTGCACCGACGACCCACTCGCCACTTACCTTTCGGCCTGGTTCCACTCCAGCAATGGCCTGACGCTCACGCGATGTCACCCAGCGGCCTCCTCAGCCAGTGTCCAATCCATCTCAATCCACTTTCTCCTGCATATCTGTTTGTCGATGATTGGTTCTTGTTTTGTTTGTCTGTGCCCATTGTTTCTTCTTGGTGATTATTTCTGGCCCGGCCATCTGATCTTCAGTATAGATCCAGCGAAGACAGTTGTTGATAAATGTCTGGTCTGCAACAGGCTGTTGGAAATGTTCTTTGTGACCACCCGCCAAGTTTCTGATCCGTATAGGAGAACTGACTGACTTGACGGCTGTTCCACAGAGCGACAAAATTAAGTTCGTAGAACAACAGCTGACAAAACTGGCTGCACAGTAGCAACTGAATTGATGGATACACTTAGAGTTGGCTAGCCTAGATACTTCATCTTTCACAGTTTCGGAATTACAACAGATTGTACGGGAGATATGAGCTGCAGCTTACCATCGTGAAACATTATTTGAATTGATTTTCTTAACTGGTTGGTTATTATTTCACTGATCACATCACCTTTGAGTTGTAGTCATTTATATATATATATGGGCATAGAGATATAGAAGAGTCCTTTTGTACTCTCTCAGCCATGTGTCCAGAGATGAACTTGCAGTATAGGGGGTTTTCAATTAGTGTGTCGTATACAACCTTAAATTCATCTTCAATAACATCTTCGGAACAAATACCTCTAATCCTATAGCTGAGGGTGCTTATCAAATTTCTTTTACAATGGAGAGGAGTAAATCTGTGAAAGTGTTTATATTGACCGATGGATGTACTTTTCTTATGCCGATTCCTTTTTATACCGCCGTCTGGTCTTCTTGTTTGCAGGACCTGTAGAAAGACAATTTTACTTTTGGATTCTTCTTCACACACGTATTTGATATTTCAATGTACTTCATTGAATTGAGATATTACTGCGTTCATATTCAAATCATTTTCACAAAGGATGAATGTAGTATCAACCATGTGTTTCAACTTTAATCTGATATGCAGACGACTACTGTATTTCATCGTTCTTGAGTAAAAACAAAAACATAGAATAATTTCATACTACTTATTACGTTTATCATTAGTAGTAAAATAATAATCACATTTTTACCCTTTGGTATTTTTATAGTTTAGAATTGTGACACGTCCAGGTAATTACTGTGTATATGACAGAGGATCACGAACCAGTTGTTATGGTTATACAGTTCCAATAGGAATTGACGAGTGTTCATTTTGTCTACCAGTGGCAAGAATAGTTCTTAGTAAATTTACATTTTTAGACTTATTTTCAGCACGTGTTGAATTGCGTTTAAACACGCATGGTGAATTAATTGACTTTGGTATATTTGATGAAGTATATAACGGTGAAACTAATGGAATAAAATACTATCCTTTATATTATATATTCCCTTTGTCGAAATGTTTATTTATGGATTTATATGTTCCATGTACTAGACAATCTGATTCACTTTTATCTCTATTCTATGGGAATAATTATATAAAACCAATCAAGTATTGTAATAGATTTTTATAATGATATTATACTATGTTATATGTTCAGTATTTCTTAGTTTGATGAATTTAGTGATAGTAGAAGTGACAGTCTATGTGTACTAATAAGAAATAAACATATTCACATTGACGTTAAGTCTTTTTACTTCACCAATTATTATTACTATTATTCCCTAGGGTTGCGAACAGAACATAGGGATTCAGCAGCACGTATCTATTTCACTCTGTCCTATGAAGTCTTTCTCAGCTGGCACCCCACATTTTCCATGAACTTTTACCTCCTCCTCACATGGTCGCTTCCACATAACGTCCCACTGCTCGTTTAGCATACGGGTTCCACTTGAGTATCCTCTCAGCCTATTCGGAATCCAGCTCCATTTTAGAGCTTTTTCCTTTCCAGAATTCCTTGTTGATAACGCCTTCTGGTAGGTCTTTCTCTCTCTATTATCAAGCCAGAGAAAGTATGTGTTGACGGAATTTTACAGTGGTCTTTGATTGAACACTGATATCTGTGGCGAAGGCATCCCTCGTAGTTTTGTTCTTCAGTTTCTGAATGTGAAACTTGAATTGCGGTCTATCTCCATTTGTTTTCATGGATCTCAACTTCACCCTGAAGGTTCCTTGAACTAGATAATGGTCTGAGACAACGTCTGCTTTCTTCTTGACTTTGTACCCAGGAGGCTACGTCTCCACATCCTTAAGAGTGATATGAAATCTTTTTCGTTTGCGGTTTGTCCGTCAGCCGAAATCCATGTTGTCTTGTGCATACACTTGTATTTATATACTCTCCCTCCTATCACCAAATCGCCAGAAGAACGGAAGTCTGCGAATGATTCCGCGTTCTCATGCAATTCGCCGATTGACAGCCTGTCGACCCATAAGGAATTCTCTTCCTGTATTATCTGCTCCCAAGTTTGAAAATTCATATCTCCCATGAGGATTTCGATATCACCATCTGGGATGTTGTTCATTACTGTTTGTGGCTATCTGTAAAACTTCTCCTTCTTCTCAGGTTCCGCGTTGTTTGTAGTACTGTGCATAGCATTGGATAATTGTTACCTTCCTTCCTTTTGAGTTAAATCTTGCTGTCCTGATCCTGGATGAAATTGGTTCCCACTGCATTAAAGCTTTGGCTGCCACTGGTGACATCACTATAGCCATCCACTGAGTCAGTGTTTTCGTGGTTGTCATCTGAGTGACTGAAGTAGATTACTCACTCTCCGATTGACATTGTCGTCAATCCACATCCATTCCATCTCCTTTCGTAGATGCCCATCACTTCTCTATCGCTACCTGGGTCGCCTTCTCAGTTTCGTACATTGAACGGACATTCCACGTACCCATTCTTACTCTTGCATTCATCGAGACATCGACACATGGGCTGACTGGCTTTCCGAAGGCTGGCTTTCACTAGCCTACTGTGTCATTTCGTCTCTCTAATTCAGCAAAGAATAAGATTTTGATTTGAAGTTTTTGTATTTTTAATATATTTTCCATGTGTTTAAGTTTCCCTAGTGGTTTGAAAGATTTAGTGGTGTGGGATTGCTAGCCCCATGCCCAAACCTCCCTCTTTACCCGGGCTTGCAGGCCGGCTAGAAAACTAGCGAGCTGGTTAACTAGACGAGGTTAAAATCAATACCATTTACAAAATAAACTGTATGAACTGTAACAGACATTACATCGGTCAGAGTGGATGTCCCCTTCGAATCTGAATCCAGGAACACAAATTGGCTGTAAAAAGACATGATATACATTCTTTCGTATCAATGCATGTAGATAATTATGGCTACTAGTTTGATTGGGATAATATAGAAATTTTAAATAAAGGAAACACTATAAATGCCAGGGAATTTCTAGAAGCCTGGTACTCAGGTTAATCAGTGATTAACAAACAAATTGCTACAGACCAAATTTACCAACTAATAAAAAGTAAATCAAACGACACGAAAGTTTGAATTCCAGTTCAATAAAAATAACCAATAGGGATGTAAATTAACAACCAGTCAAGACAGCGGTTGCCAGGAGATACAGTTATATCATTTACGGAGAACTTAAATAAGTTCATTCCAAACTGAAACCTGCCCTGAAGATGTTGTCTCGAAGGGTGACGAAAGCTTCGCAACTGAATCAACCAGCTCAGAGAACACAACTAACTCAATATCATCCAACTGAGCTACAAATCTTCTCCAATACATCTGATTTATCTCAACATTCCGTTCCAAACATTTTCAATTATTCAAGTGTTAGTTGGTAGGGATTTGACTGATTGGTTACAGGATTTCATCATGAATTGGCATTGGTTAGAGGACCATTGGAAAACCTGGTAGTACTGGACAGCCAGCTGTTTCGTCCTAGTTTGGGGCTCCTCATCAGTACTCACCATCAATGAAAATAAGTTACTGAAAAGTGGTGGTTTAAATAATCTTTTATTATCTATTATCTGCATGCGTATTTGAGGTAACTGATTCAAGTGGATTTCAAAACCGCTCATAAATGGCAAACTTTAGTTGTCGATACCATTACCGGAACGCTAAACAGTTAGTGATAGGAACCAGTATAAAAATTGTATATCATCCTTTCTCAAGCCTATTGTGATTTCATATGTGTGCGATCAATCATTTCTCACAACTGTGAAACGACTATATTGTTGTAAAGAAAATGTATAAATATGATGTGTTGTTTGCTAATAAAAACACAAGTATTTTGATGTGGTTGTGTTCTCTAAATTTCATGGTTTATTTGCGAAGCTTTCATCACCCTACTGGGTGACATCTTCAGCGCATACATCAATTCTCTGAAGTGAGCTTTTAGATTTCTCCAAGAGTTTATTAATCATTTCTCCTGGTGACTTTGGACGTGATTGGTTGTTTTTGTGTGTTTTCACATATTCCAGATTACTTGTATTGGAACTGATTGTTTCTTTGACTTGAACTTTGACCCTTTGTGTGTGAGGTTTCTTTCTTATCGGTTGATAAATTTTGATTATCTCGATGTATCTATTGATTGATGATTCACTGGAATGCCAAGTTTTTTGGTTGACATGGAATTGAGTGAAGTGACTTTATTGGTTTGTGTACAACGTCAATTCCTAAAGGTTTGGAAGAGTCTTGTAGCGATTTCTGAGATATCCTTTATATATTGTAAGACGATTCTCTTTGTGCTTTCCTTGGAGGCTTTTGGTTTGATAGGTTGGCTTGGGGGTATATTCGACTGGGACAACCAACGCCCAAATATTAGACAGAGGAAACAACAAGAATGCTAGAGAAGTTTTAGAAGCATACCTGGTATTCCAGTGAATCATCAATCAATAGATACATCGAGATAGATAAAATTTATCAACCGATAAGAAAGAAACCTCACACACAAAGGGTCAAAGTTCAAGTCAAAGAAACAATCAGTTCCAATGCAAGTAATCTGGAAGATGTGAAAACACACAAAAGCAACCAATCACGTCCAAAGTCACCAGGAGAGATGATTAATAAACTCTTGGAGAAATCTAAAAGCTCACTTCAGAGAATTGATGTATGCGCTGAAGATGTCACCCAGTAGGGTGATGAAAGCTTCGCAAATAAACCATGAAATTTAGAGAACACAACCACATCAAAATCATCCACCTGAGCTGCAAATCTTCTCTATGATGTCACAGGCCAACCTTTGTCTTTTGATATTTGAGTGATTCAATGAAGCGGAAGGTACAATGGACGAATAGGCGTATTAGTGTACCAATCGATTTCATTACCGTTCTAACAATGAGATGTGCATATATAACAGGATTTTAAATAAACATTTCTGTCAGTACACTGAATGTCTTCATAGTTTTGACTTCGATAAATTAATGTTATAGCTCATATATTCTCTCTTATTTTATATTTGATCAGTCTACATGAAGCTAAATATACGTAATCATAAGAACGGCAAATGATTACCAATTCTTTACGCCTACAACTATGATGCACCAGGGCAATTCATCCAAAACAGGAAGCTTAGCGAAGGGTTTGAAGTAAGGGCAGGAATAAGAAAAGACCACCAACTGTCTCATCGACTGGATTTCTCATTGTGGTGGACTGAATCGTGCGGCGAGCCGAAGGGAGAGAGAAGACAGGGATACGTTGGACTGATAAAAAACAATGGAAGATTTAAATTTCGACGATAGTTTATGTCTAACATCGCAAAAACTTGAAAACGTAGAAGCGAAAACCATGACTACAAGTGAACGCAGGGAAGACAGAGATAGTGAAGACACCTGACCAATAACAATAAGCATCAATCACCATCAACGCGGAAGATCTAGGGGAAGAAATTCTTTTTAATCAACTAGAGTTGGTACATTTAAGGATTTTAAAGCTGGCTAGGGTTTGGGAATTCGGATCTCCAATACAAACGTAAAGTCAGTCAGTTCTTCTATACGGATCAGAAACTTGATGGGAGGGTCACAAAGAATATTTCCAACAGCCTGTTGCAGACCAGACATTTATCAACAACTGTCTTCGCTAGATCTATACTGAAGATCAGATGGCCGGGCCGGAGAGAATCACCAACAAGAAACTATGGGAACAAACAAAGCGAGAAAAAACCAATCGCCAACCAAAATATATGCAGGAGAAAGTGGATTGAGTTAGATCGGACATTCGCTGAGGAGACAGCTGGGTGACATCGTGCGCGCGTCAGGCCATCGCTCAAATGGAAGGCGAAAGGGAAGAATCGAGTGGGTCGTCGGTGCAAGTGTGACATGGAGGAGATCGTGTGAAGAGGAGTTGAAAGAGTATGGACTGACATGGATGCAGGTGAAAAGTACAGCAGCAGAAGACAGAAGTGTCAAGTGGAGACGTACAGTTGAAGCCCTATGTTCCACTAGGAACCCATGGGAACAATAATAAATAATAAGGATTTGGAAAGCAAGACTTGAAGTTTATTACTAGGAAGTCACTTCCAACACGCCAGCGCCAAGTTATTTCAGAGAATTGGTTATTGCATCAGCAACAGCATTTTCAACTTTTGCCGACAGTTACCGTCTTCGCTAGA